CCTGGCAGTGTGACTGTAAGATGGCAACTTTTGGCAAAACCTGATTGAAACTCCTAAGGTTCTAAAACAGATAACATGTGCCCAACCTGCCAACCTCGCAGGACAGAAACTTAAAGATGTCAGTCCCAAAGATCTGATCTGTAAAAGCCCAACCAAAGGAACGCCAACTGTTGATGCCCCCAACTCGTCATTTGGCAGCACAGAAAACAATGTAAGCTCAACATCACATCCTATAAGCTCCACATTTGCCACACAGCCACAAATCGCATATAATGCTAAGAATTCATTTAGCTCATATACAGTGTCGACATCTTCATTTGCATTTTTTTTTGGCAACACAGAAAACAAAGTAAGCACAACAGCACATGCTGTAGGCTCCACATTAGGCACACTATCTGCTGATCCCCAATTGCGAAGTGCTAACAACTTTTATAATGATACCACCACCTCAACCCTTGCCGTCACTGGTACTTTCCATCAAAATGATCCCAGTTTGCCCCTACATCCTGGTTTCACTTCAGCTGTTGTTGTTGCATCAGTGGTTCCTCTCGCTGTTGGCGTCATGTTCACACTCTGGTGCAAAAGGATGCTAAAAATTTCGATTCAGGTTCGAATGCCAGCCCTGCTTTGCACAGCACAAACACCACAGCTGTTGTAGCAACGTTAACTAGTGGCCATGATCACAAGTATGAAGATGTAGACCAACTTGACCAAACAGGGCAGGGTCAGTCTCAGACCATCACTGGATCCAACACAAACACCACAGCTACAGTAGTGACCAGTGGTGATGACCACCAGTATGTAAATAGTGGCCAGCATGATCAGACAGGGCAGGGTCAGTCTCAGACCATCACTGAATCCTACACAAACCCCACAGCTACCGTAATGACCAGTGGTGATGATTCCCAGTATGTAAATAGTGGCCAGCATGACCAGACAGGGCAGGGTCAGTCTCAGACTATCACTGAACCCTACACAAACACCACAGCTACTGTAGTGGCCAGTGGTCATGATCAGACAGGGCAGGGTCAGTGTCAGACCACCACTGAGTCAAACACAATCGGCATAGCTATTTCCAAACCTTTGAACACTAAAATTCCATTATATAATGGCTCATCTGATAACATCAATGAATCCAACCCAAACACCAAAGCTAATGTAACAGTCAGTGGTCATGGTCAAACAGGATATCAGGTTATCACCGATCCCTTGGACGCTAAGAGTCAACTATATAACACAGGACCGACTGCCTCAAACTCATCCACTGAATCCATGTACAATAAATCTCATAAGACAGGTCGCTCTCAGGCCATCGTTGAACCTGATACAAACACCACAGCTTACGTACCTGTCAGTGGCCATGGTCATACAGTGTTTTCGGTTATGAACAAACCTTTAGACACAAGTCCATTATATAATAGTACAGGGCCGTCTACCTCAAACTCTAAAGCTGAACCCACAGCCCCTGAATGTCCATTATACATGTATAACACAGGTCTGATGGACTCAAACTCAACCACTGAATATTTGCACACTAAAAGTTCATTATATGATCAGCCAGGGCAGGGTCAGACCATCACTGAATCCTACACAAATACCACGGCTATTGTAGTGGCCAGTGGTCATTATCAGACAGGGCAGGATCAGTCTCAGGCCATCACTGAATCCAACACAAACACCACAGCTACTGTAATGGCCGGTGGTGATGATCAGACAGGGCAGGGTCAGTCTCAGGCCATCACTGAGTCCAACACAAACACCACAGCTACTGTAGTGACCAGTGACATTGGTCAGCTTCAAGGCACAACAGAATCCTTTGGTATTAGAAACCTACCACCGGTATCAGTTGATGAGCTACTAGCTGCCCTACAGCCAAATGCTATGTATGAAGGTGTAAAAACACAGAAAAATGAGCCAATGGTCACTGAATCCAACACAAACACCACAGCTACTGTAGTAGTCAGTGGTGATGATCAGGCAGGGCAGGGTCAGTCTCAGACCATCACTGAATCCAACACAAATACCACAGCTACTGTAGTGGCCAGTGGTCATGATCAGACAGGGCAGGGTCAGTCTCAGGCCACCACTGAATCCAACACAAACGCCACAGCTACTGTAGTGGCCAGTGGTGATGATCAGACAGGGCTTCGTCAGTCTCAGACCATCACTGAACCCTACACAAACCCCACAGCTACTGTAGTGGCCAGTGGCAATAGTCAGTCTCAAGACACCACTCAATCCATTGGTATTGGAAACCTACCACTACTATCGGGCGATGCGTTGCTAGCTGCCCTGCAGCCAAATGCTATGTATGAAGGTATAAAAATACAACAAAAGGAGCCATCAGGCCAAAATGACCAGTGATCATTATTAGACTGTTGCAAGCAGTATGGCTATAGTACTAGTGGTCACGATCAGACAGGGCACTTATTAATCACTGTTTAACTTGTTTAACTGTCATATGGCATACGTAGGGCATGGGTAAAGTTAGTATGCGTTTACTGCTGGTAAGTAGTGCTATGTACTGATAATTGCGTCCTATGATTTTGTATCAATCTAGTAAGGAGTGAACTCTTAAATAAAAAAAATATGACCGATGCCGATGCATTAAGCATGTAACCTGAAAGAATTAGATGTGCTCGAAATACTTCTACTGTAGTGACATTCAAGAATATGTACTACTTAAATGGTACTTTAGTGTCCTATTGTTTAGTGTTTTATTGTTCTCAAGAGCTCACTAAACACCCATCTGTTCAGTAGCATGTTTTACTCACCTTCTGGGTCTTGAATCTTCACTGTACACTGTAACCTAATGGATAACCACGGGTTATTTCAAACAGTCCAGGAACCAACTAGAAATGGTAATCTCTTGGACCTGGTCTTAGTTAATAACCCCAACATAATTGAGAAGACCACAGTAGTCCCGGGGATAAGTGACCACGACATGGTTCTAGTGGACGTTAACCTGGCACTGAAACAAAACAGGAAACCTAAGAGAAAAGTGTACATCCGCACAAAAGCCGACGAACCAGCCATTAAGAAAGACCTAACGGATTATGACAACTAACTTTCACAAAAGAACTCAGGATATGTCAGTTACACAGAAGTGG